ATTATTAAGTAATTAGAGTATTAGATAAAGCCCTTAACTTAAAAAGCTTAATTATAGTAGCGAATCGAAATAGAATAGCTTTATAGTAGTTTATAAGACTTAACGAGGTAGTTAAAAGTATAGTAAAATCTTAATAGGACTTAGTTAAGTAGTTAAAAAGTATATTATTTATATATTACTAAAATATAACTAGTCTGTTTATTAAGCTGAATAGTATTATCTTATACTTATAACTCTTATAGTAAGTATAAAAATTAATATACTCTTTAGAGGCGAGATTTATACGAGTTTAATAGAATACTTTAGATATTAATCTTAGTTAAGATTTTAGCTTAGTTTAACTATATATATACATTATTAATAAGAGGTAAAAGATAGTTATTCTTTTAAGTGATTTTATTTAGCTTTTAATAGTTGATATAAAGGTATAAGCCTTTATTTAGTTTCTTAATAAAAAGAGTTAAATAAGTAAATAAAACATAGCTTAAGACTATAAAACCTTATTTAAGGTCTCTTCTAAGTATTTCTTTATTATTTAAAGCTCTGTTTTATTTTATTAGTATAAAGGTTTATACTTATAATTAATATCTTTTTTTAATTTAATCTTATAATTTAAACTTAAAATAGAGTCTAAGAGAGAGTTAATAGTTATCTTTAAAAAAGCGCTAGTGAATTTTTTATATTAGTAAAAGAGTTTCTTTTTTAAGATATCTTTATATAATTCTTTAAGTTTAGTTAACTCTTATAGTTTAGCTTTTTAAGCTACCTAGTTAATAGCCTTATTAATTTCATTTAATATTATTATAAAGAATTCCGATCTTAAGAGTTATATAATATAATGGAATCTTATAGTATTAATATTAGTAATATCTATCTTTAGTAAGGTTTTCTCTTTTTAAATAAGGTATTAGTAAGATAATATAGTATCTTTTAAGACTATAAAAGAAGGCTTATATAAAGTAAGATTATATAGCTTCTTTTCTATTTATCTAATCGCGTTTTATACTTAACTATTATAAGTTAAAATAAGAGGCTCTTAAATAAGCCTTTAGTTTTCTTAATATTATTACTCTTATTCTTTTTTTAATTGATAGTATTTCTTTTAGGCTTCTTATTTTATTATATAATATTTTTATAAGAATAAGAAAAGGTATTAAGGCTTAGTAAGAGATATATTCAAAGAAATAGATTCTTTTATATCTTTTATAGCTTAAATTATTACTTAATAGTAAGGGCGTAAGTTAATATCTTTTATATTTATAACTACTTATTAGCGGAAAATATCTTATTAATCGACTATTTCTATCTATAATAGGTCTAATAGTTATAAGATATCTTAAGAGAGCTAAATTAGTTAAAAGAGGACCCTAAGGATATCCTTATTATATGATTAAATAAGGTAATAATCTTTAATATTTAATTAAATATCGAAATAAACTATTTAACTTTATCTTAAAATAATCTTATAGTTCCTTAGATTTAAAAGTATAAATAAGATTTATTTTTATATATTAATTAATTGAGACGTTTAGAAAGATTATATAAAAAGTGATATCTTTAGTTTATCTATTATAACTCTTCACTTATATAAAGTCAAATAAGAAAATAGGTTTTATACTAAATTTCCTTATAAAGTCTTTAATAAAGTAAGTATTAATAAAAATAAAACTACTTACTTTAAAGTTAAAAAGTATAAGTAATATAATTCTAATACTATTATAAAATAATATATAAAAAATAGTAAAACTTTTATTATTTATTTATTAATATATATTAATCTCCTTAAGATTAAGTATTTACTTTAAGAAAGAGTCTTTTCTTAAGGTTTTAAGTTTTTAACTTTAAGAGTATTTTCTTTAAATTATTAATCTCTTTTTCCTTAGAAAAGAGATTAGTACTAAAGTAATATTCTAAGAATTTAACTTTTATAACTATTATAATATAAGACTTTAAGTAGTTTTGAATAATATATCTTATTTTTTATAGTTATAATATATAATAGCTTTAAAAAGCGAAAGAATTACTTTAAAAGCTATTATAAGAGTTAAAGTCATAAGAATAAGAATATTATTAAAAAGTAGAAAAGTAATTAAGCTTTTTTTTAAAAAAAAAGTAAAAGTTAAAAAGTGAACTATAAGTGTAAGAGCTTAAATAGTTATTATAATCTACTAATATTATTTTTAAGTATAATATATCTTCTTATCTAAGAAATCTACTATAAATATAAAGTCTTAGAAACTTCTATTAAGAGTAAACTTATAAATTATTCGATTTTTAAGAGCTAAATATAAAGAGTTATAAAAGTAAGTAATAAGGCTTTTAATAAATAAGATATAAGTATCTTAAATAAGCTTTAAGAACTTTAAGTAATTCTTAATAAATAACTTACTTACTATTATTTAAAGCTTATTTAAAACTATCTTAGTATCTTATTATTTAAAAATATTATTATATATATTACTAAAGTAACTAAGTATTTCTTTTATATTTATAAAAAGCTTTATATTACTAACTTCGAAATAAGAGAGTAAGTAACCTTAGATATTACTTTTAGTATAATTATATACTACGGCTTATTAAGCTTTCTTATTTAAGTAATAATCGGAATTAATATTTAGCTTATTACTTATAAAGGCGAACTAGGTGTATTATTCTAGGCTATTAGAGGTACTAAAGAACTTATTAATATACTACTTTAGTAAGAGTCTTTTATAGTATCTTTAATAAATAAGAGTAAGCTTTATTAGTATTTAAGAAGTATTATCTTAGTTATCTTTAGATAATCTACTATTATTAGAATTATTATTATTACTTAGATTAAGAGCTTATTATTAAGAGCTAAATAGTTTAAGCTTTTTCGACTTAGTAGTTAAGTGAAGAAGTATTTTTATTATCTTCTAAAGGTTTTTATCTTATTTATTCTATTACTAAGTAAGTATTTTAATTTCCTTTTCGCTTTTAAAAGCCTTAATTACTAGTATAAGAGTAAGATATTCTTCTTAGGAATAATCCTATTAATTCTAAGAGTTCTTATTAGTAAGAGATATAATATTACTATAAGAAGTTAAGAAGATTATGTTATTTCTCTCTTTTATATTACGTTTATAAGATATAATATAAATATAAGAGAAGTTTAAAAGAGATTATAAAAGTAAGTTTTTTTTTCTTTAATATTAGAAACGTAATAAAAGTAATTATAAGAATTAAACTATATTATAATTTATCTTCTCTCTTAAAAAGACTAAGATCACTTATAAGGAAGTAATAAAAGTAAGAAGAAGTACTTTAATTATAAATATAACTTAACTATACTTAAGAGTACTTAAGGAATTTAGTAGAAGTAAATATTAGGACTCTTACAAGTAAGGTTAGTTTCTTTAAGTATAATAATATAACGAATATTTATTAGTAGTTATAATATAAAGTAGAAAAGATAGTAAGAGAAAGAGGTTCTTAAGAAGTCTTAAGAATAAATAAAAGAGATATAACTATTAGTAAACTAAGCTAGTCCTAAGTTCATTATATAACTCTAGTCTTATAGTCTTATGATATTAGTCTTACTTATATAACTAGCCTATTATAATCAGTCTATTATAATTCTAGAGAGTAATGTTCTTTTAAAGATATCTTTTAATACTATAACTTCTACTTAATCGAGTAAGCTCTCTACTAAATAAATACCTGCTCTACTACTATATAACAACTATTAAAGTAGTTAAATATCTCTTTAATATTTTAAAAAGGTAAATAAAAAAATAAGTGACTTTAAATATTACTTCTAATATAATTATATATTATAACATATTAAGTTTTCTTATTTAAATAATAATTAATATTAATTTTTAGTCTACTAATTACAAAAGTAAACTAAATATATTATTTTAAGTCTTTACATATACTAAAAAACCTATAAATACATTACTTAAGTAAAAGTCTATTATAATACTTAAAATAAATAAAAGTAAGCTATATTAAAGCTTTAAGAGTATTATCTTAGTTATTTTTAAATAATTTATTATTAGTAGAGTTATTGTTATCCTTTAAATTAAAAGCTTATTATAAAAGTTAAATAGCTTTACTTTTTCATATTTTAATAGTAAAGTTAATAAGTATTTTTATTATTATTTAAAGATTCTTATTTTATTTAACTTAATATTTAAAAAGCTTTTTAATTTCCTTTTTACTCTTAAAGACTTTAATTATTAATATAATAATAAGATATTCTTCTTATAACTAGTCTTATTAGTCTTAAAGTTTCTTTTTAATAAAGAATTTAAAAGAATTAAATTATTTTTCTCTTTTATAATATATTACTAAAGTATAATATCTAAGAGGAAAAAAGCTAATAAAAGTTATAAAAAAAGTTTCTTTCCTTTAGTATTAAAGAAGTAATAAGAGTAATTATAAAAATAAAGTTATATTTTTTTTAAAGAAGAGTTAAGTTTACTTATAAAAAATTAATAAAATAAAAGTAAAAAAAAGTACTTTAATTAAAAGTATACTTAATTATACTTAAATAATACTTAAAGAAATAATAAAGTATAAGAAAAAAGAGAGAACTAAAAATATAACTTAATTATACTTGAAAAGTACTTAAGAAATTTAAGAAAAGTAAATATTAGTCTTTTTTAATATAATAATATAATATAAAGTAAAAAGGATAATAAAATAAAGAGATTCTTAAAAGGTTTTAAGTATAAGTAAAAAAGATATAGTTACTAATAAACTACGATAGTCCTAGGTTTATTATATAACTTCTTATTTAAGTATCTTTAATACTAAGCCTTATAGCCTTATAGCCTTATAATATTAGTCTTACCCACGTGATTAGTCTATTATAAGCTTCTTATATAAAGTAAACTACTTAGGTAAGGTATTTTCTGCATTTATTATTATATTTTACTCTTTTTATTAGCGATATCAATGAACTTATAATAAGGTTCTTTTTTTTTAGTTAATAAAACTCCTTACAGGCCTAGAAACTTTTTTTATAATATCAATCAGATAGTAATCTCGGCTTCATCTCCTCTTTTCCAACCTTTACCGACCCAAGCCTTCATCCGAATCCTCACCCCACTATCAAAGACCTCAAACGTTCTAAGTTTTTGCAGCTCTTCTCGGAAAACAGTACTCGCTAAAGATAGCTCTTTCTCGCTGTAGTCTGAGAAGAACATCTGTTTCGCAAGCATCATATTGTCAGCAAGCTCGTCTAGGCTTGATGCCATAGTGTATGTTGCACAGAGCTTGACCTCGATATTGTTTCCAAAGCCGCCATCTTCTAGCTTTGTAGCAAGCCATGAGCCTCGAAGTACGTCTGGCTCAAGAGCCATAAGGGTCTGGGGCTTTTCGTTGGGTCGAACCCACAATGCGGTGTTGTAGAATGCTGTCAGCCAAACACGATCTGGTCACAGATTAGCACGTGGTGCCTCATTGTTTTTGGTCAGCCATACCTGCCCATGTTGAAACTGATCCAACACCTCCTGGTTTCAGCACACGGAATATTTCGCTTATCACTTTGTTGCTCGAGCCAGTGTCACCTGGAACAGGAAGTCCGAAATTAGTGAAGACGTGAGTAAAGGTGTTGTCTGTCAGACTCGAGAGATTTCGTGCATCCAACATATCCGTTTCCATATCCTTCCAGCCTTCGGTTGTTATACGATGCGTAACCTCTTCAATCATAGCTGGGGACAAGTCTGCTGCCATGATCCTAGCATTCGGGTGTCGGACCTTGATCTTCTCGCTTACGATTCCTGGGCCACACGCATTATCGAGAATGTACGACGCATCCGTGATTGGAGGTGAAATTGATAACACCATGTCTGTTGCGAGTAACCGAGTACGGTTTTCTGACCTACATCGACGCTGTTAGCTTCTATAAACCAATACGGGACGGCATGAATCTGAGAGAAAGCTTTCGGATTCAGAATATTGGGCTTGTGGAATACAATGCTTCAAGAAGGGCCCATTACATTCGCTCATACATAGAGCTATATGTTGATGGTTTGGTGGACGCCATGGCTTGGAAAAGCTTGCTAAATTGAAGGACGCTTGAAGATTTCATTTACTTGAAAAGGATGTGAAGATAGTCTGAGTCTAGAATAAGTACTGATATAGATACGCCTGAGGAGCTTGATATACTTATAGGAGCTCATGCTGTTGGGATTCATCTTACTCCTCAACCCTTTGTCTCTGTTTACTGCCAAGGCTCGCGTACATCTCGGAGACTTAATGCTAGAGGAAGTCTCCGATGAGACACCACGGCAGTGCTATTGAATAGTAATGCTCCGTAAATTTTGCGATTGTTATTAAAGCTAGCAGAAGCAATACTCAGGAAGTGTCCGCCATGAATTGCTTGTCAAGCCCTGAGACACAAGAACTGGAGAGTATTGCACGTGACCTCCCAAACAAGCCGCACCGGGATGATGTTGACAACATTCCCATGCTTTTACACACGAGCCCGAACCCTGGGCGTATACGGAATTGGTGTCTTGTCCGCTCCCATAGTATACGACTGTGGAGAGAATCCTGCAAACCAGCTGCAAGCTTTGGGTCCACCAGCGGATGAAAACAGAGATCTTCAGAAGAGGCACTTGATGCGGAACTGCAAATATTTCATTCATACATGTTAGGTATAGATAAATATGTCGGCTTAACGCATCTGCCGCGCGGACCAGGTGGTGTAGTAACTCCTAGGTAGAATATCTACGATTGCAATTAGAAGAAAATAAGTAAAAAGAAAGCTCTTGCAACTCGTACATCCAGCACACCTTGGTTTCCCTTTCTCACCATTCGCAGCATATGGAGGTCACCACTTGTTTGGTCCAAAATGTTCTCCAGGAGTAACGGCAGCTTGTACCGCTGTATTCATGGCATCCATTGTTGTGGTGGTTATCGTGTTTCCCCACCATACAGGTGCTTCCACATTATTCATTGTGAATGCAAAGAAGATGAATAGTGTGCTTAGAGCGAGTCCCAAATCTAGCCCAGCACTTGTCAGGTAGTTGAGCCTTGACCACCATCCAAAGAATCTCTGTCGAATGAGCTTCTGGAAAATGAACCCAACGATGCCCCAGGAGAGGTAATTAAGGGGCGTGGCTGGTGGTATGGAACCTGCGCCTCCGAGGACAAGGGGTGCCATTAAGTATTTCATAGGCGACCTGGGCCACTTCTTGGCACCAGCCCAGAATATAACTGGCAGGACAGCGCCGATGCCGAAAAACCAGAAGAGTCCCGAATATATTTGACCGGGAGAAAAGATTCGAGCAGGTCCGATCAAGCCCCAGATTACAGAAGCTAGACCCATTAATTGATTATCTACACGAGGTGAGTGTAAGTGCTTACCTGAAAAGAACACCCTTCCGCCTGGACACGTGAAGTGTTGAGGTTGGTGCGGAGTACAGACGTCTTTGATATTTGTAAGGGCGAAGTTGAGAACAGCGATCTGGATGAAACAAGACAAGGTGGTAGCAACAACCTGCGCCATAAACATTGTGCGTGGTGGGATCTAAACATATTAGCTCAGTTGATAGTATCAATTTTGTCAGAATCACCTTCATGTAATGACCAAATTTGAGATCAGAGACGAAACTCAGGGCCTGAGACATGGTGATGTAGCCATAGGTCTTGAATATCATGAGTGCCAATGGCCGTCCAGGTTGAATATATCCATACACAAACTCTGTGAGTACATTGAGACCGATCTGGGTATTGGTGATTGCTTGAATGATTCCGATTGGAAGTGAAAAGACGAATGAGATGGACAGGGCCAAGAAAAATGACCACCACGCTAGCAATAATCAGTTTCAGCCAGATAAGGTGGTCAAGAATTATCTGGAAATATGGAAATATGGAAAATTATTGACCCACTCAAATTTATTGGGAATGCGAGGACTGTGGCCAGACTGAGGGCGACCATTAGAACAAAGAGAGTGAGGTACCACCACTTCAATAAAGTTAGCGCTATTACAGATAAAATCAATAACCTAGATCGGAGAGCACATACGGTTGGTGCCTCCTTATATTTGCTCATAAGCTTCATATGGATGTCTGCTTCTTCCTTGGTACTGTTGCGAAACTGTCCCCAGATCTGCTTCCCGTGATTTACGTAGGTGTATACAATCAAGGAAGCGATGGCGGCAAAGGACAGTCCATAGGACATAGCAAACGTGGTTGAGAGGAATAGTGGCGAGTATGCTGTGTATGCTTCTAAATCGAGTGTGAATTTTGGAGTCAATATCCTCGACACGTTATACGACGCTCCTGTATTATCATACGTCGTACTGTCAGTCATTGGCAAGTACCTTGCAGACCACGTTCCCGAGTAATGCAGTATCGAGGAGCCAAATATATAAAATGTCACAACACCGATGAGAGTATTGGCAATTGCGAACCAAGGAGGGATGAGCGGCGATCCGACAAACCCGGATATCTGAGTCCACTGTTTCGAATATTTCAGCACTGCCTGCAAATTCGTCGGCGGAACAGCTACTCACGTCAAATGTAATAGGTAAAATCGAGAGTCCCGTTGTGCCACCAAATAGTTGGTTGATAATAACGTTGTTTGGTGCAATCCAGGTTGCGAAGGCAAATACACTCAAAAACTGCATTAGAAAGCCTGGAATGAAATAGCTGGATGTTCGAAGATTCAGCAACTGTCTACATTCAATAAAGATAACTCTGGGCAAGAACAAATTCTGTGAAGCTGAGATCAACTTACTAAACGAAGGCTCCCAAACAAATTAGCCCGAACCAACGGTATCTTGGCATATTACCGCCAATGATGGAATGGTCTTTCGGAGCAGCTTTTTCGTACATGGCGTTCATCACTTGGATACAGTCAGCGCCGTAGAACCCTAATAACAGGATTCCGATTGAATAAATGGCTCAGGAACCGAGTTCTTAGACCAAAGAGAAGTATGCATTGATTTACATACATGTGACACTAACAAGATTTCCCGGCCAGATCATTGCTGCAGGGTAACTAGTCGAGGTTAATAATTGATTCAATCCACGGGTTTATGCCATCGTTGGCGTAGATCTCAGGTTGTTCTTGTGGTCTGGATTTCAGATGGAGGCAAAATGAAGGAAACACTTACACCAAGTACCTTCGCAGAACTCCCGCAATTCCGTATCTAGAGGGGCTTGTCAGTGCTTGCCACTCGAAGGGAGCACTTGGATACATCATCACAAGACGCGATGATGTTTACATTTCCGCTGCGACAACTTCTATAAGGAGATCGCTGTGTGGACGAGCCTGCTTACCCAATTGACTGCGTCGAAATTGTTAACATCAGCTGAAAGATTATACCAAAGTCTTGCTTGTAGAATGCAACCTGTGCAAGAATTATATCAGTGGCGTAGGCGGCACTGAACGAGACGCTTGCCATAACGACAATAATGGAATGCTCCTTGATATTGAAAGGGCCAGGGTTCAGGGACCACTTCAAACCAAAAGTAGTAAATTGACGACTTGGCATGACCTTGGCCCACCCATCTATACAACGAGAAATCAGTATTGTCGTAAAGATAGTGTACATCCAAACACGACATCAAACTCTTCGTAGAAGATGGAGGCAAGGACAAGGACAACGACAAGGTAGAAGTTGTCTCCTCTCAACTTACGTCCTAATGGCCAGGCAATGATTTGTGCGACCAAAGCACCTAGCCCGATGGACGGGGCACGTAGGGAAAACAAGGTATTCATGCTTGCTCCGACAAAAACCAAGGTCAATCCGAGAGTCCAAGCACGAATCGTATTACAAGGAACGTCTTCGTCGTAGTTGTGCACGGCAGCTCGAACCTCAGGGTAGGGAGAGTCCTCCTCTTCTTTGGCAGCGAAAGACTCATCGTCGACAGAAGCGCTATCTAAGATCGCTAACTCTCTCTTTTCCTCCGGATAATTTGGATCTGTCTCCATTAGTATAGGTGTGTCTTTGCAATGATGCATTCGAGCATACCCCACATGGACAAACGTTGCCTAAGATCAGAAACGGGATCAAGATGCTTAGCATCTTTCACAGAAGCTGGGTATCTTGCATCTAGTTCGCGTGTGTTAACCTCGAAGTCATCCATCTTCAAGTTCCAGTCCTTCTCATCATCAAAGTCGGTATTCGTTCGTGCCGCTGGAGCAGCCGTGCCGGACGGCTTTCCATCGTATTGTAAGGCCATAGCAGTAAAACAACCTGGCGACAACGAGAACGATCAACGGTCTGGGGATTCATAAAGCGAACCATGGCTGTTATAAGAAATACAATGGTTGTGGGTGATCCTCTATCACTGACACGGGCCAGGCAATGTGGCGTACATGGAACGGCAGGTCTCTGACTTACGTGAAGCAGCAAACTGTGGGGGAGGGGTAATTCAGATAAGCTTCTTTATTGAGATTCGCCAGCAGGGGATGTTTTAGAGCTGGAGCCATGTGTCTCAAATTTGGACCTAGCCGGGAAGGCATCACATAAGAACAAACGCTAGAATGAGTTGTGGTCTTGATGCTATGTGCTTGGAGATATCCCTGCTCCATGGATATACTGTAGAACTTAACTGCTAGGAGGATGATAGTATTGTAGCAAGCGATTGCAAGTTTACCAACATGCGAAACCAAGGACAGTGGCTAGACGACATCCATGCACAAATCAGACGAAACATATCTGCGGCATGGCAGAGAAACAAAGTTATCATGCAATGCACCACACTGACTGGCTCGCAACATCGGGATATGAACGAAACAGCCAAGGAAGCTTTCCCATGGAAACATGATTCAGCACCAACCGTGGCCATTGACATCCACAGCCACACCGCCCAAAAGGCAAACACATACCATGTTATGGCAGTAGAGATGGTGGATGGAGATGGATTGCAAGATCGGCTTCAAGGCTCCAAGACGGACCCGGCTGGGAGAACGAAGTCGCCGAATTTCAGTCATGGTTGGCTCACTCAAGCTATCCGTTCTGATTAGGTTCTGCTCACTCCGCTAGTGCTAGCATAAAAAGTCTGCAGGTCAAGTTGCAATCATCGTGAACGGTCAGTTCAGGATACTCCGCACCAACCTGGAGCAGAAGCCGTCGTCGGATCGTCTCATCGTGCCATAGCATAGCCGCCACAGTCAAGAGTGGTGATTACTGTATTGACCAAGGTAGGTTGGTCAGCGATTGGCCCTGCCGGGTGTACAATACTCTTTGGAAAGAGGAGTCTGGACGTGGTTGAGCGCCACTGGCACTTCACGGAGTGTGGTGATATTAAGCTCACAGGCAGCTAAGCAGCCGAGGTTACTGTAGCTACTAGCTAGTCAGTCAGGGGGTGGCAGGGTGGATGGCTTGGCCTGGCCTTGTCAACCCTGGACGTCAACCACGACGAATACTGTACCTATGCGACCCTCATCAGGAGTTACACCTGCACCTGCACCTGTACCTGTGGACTGGAAACCTTCTACATCTGACTTCCACCTTACCTTGCCCATTCGAGCCCTTCCCTAACCTACCTACCGAGGTAAATAATTACCTGCGCTTTTCAACGCCTATCGCAGCAAGCCTAGCTGCTGCCAATTTGCCTCCCATCCTGGCTCAAGGTCCAGGTCCAGGTCCAGGTCCAGGTCCTTCCAAGCCCGAGCCCAAGGCCATCCAACTCCTACGGCCACCCGTCTTCCAATCTGATTGGCAATCAATTGCTGTTTGCGCCCCTTACGAAGAGGTTCCTCGTGCACCCCGTCGGCTTGCCCTGGCCGGTCATACTATACCTCACATCCAGATACATCACGAATAGACATGGCTAGAGTATGCGGCGGGTGGTAGTAACAGGCCTCGGCGCCATTACGCCCTTGGGCGTGGGTGTTCGCCGTACTTGGACTCGGCTCCTGGCTGGCGATTGTGGTATTGTGAGTGTTGCAGATCGTGAACCATCTGCCAGATGGCAGGAACTGCCTAGCACAGTCGCGGGCATCGTCCCAGAAGGCAGTAGAAGCGACGGGAGTTGGCAGGCTTCGGACTGGCTGGAACGGGGCGAGGAGCGGCGTATGGCGAAGTTCTCGCAATTCGCGATCGCTGCTACGGAGATGGCTTTTGATGATGCTGGATGGCGGCCACGCAGCCAAGCAGATCGAGAAGCTACTGGCGTATGTTTGGGCAGTGGTATCGGGAATCTTGAGTGTCTCTATGATACCAGCATAGCCTATGACAAGAACGTACTCATCCCATCCCTTGATTTTCCTATGGTGTTCTGACATTCCAGATAGGGCTATAAGAAAGTGTCGCCGCTCTTCGTTCCGCAGCTACTCATCAATCTTGGCGCAGGGCATATATCAATGAAATATGGTTTACAGGGCCCGAATCATGCTGTTACAACTGCTTGTACCACTGGCGCTCATGCAATTGGCGATGCATTCCGATTCATCGCGTTTGGAGATGCGAATGTCATGGTCGCTGGAGGCTCGGAATCCTGCATTCACCCGCTCGCTTTGTCAGGCTTCGCCCGATCTCGGTCTCTGGCTACAGGTTTCAATTCCGATCCAGCCTCGTCATCGCGGCCATTTGATCGTGACAGATGCGGGTTCGTGATTGCCGAGGGAGCAGGGGTTGCCGTACTAGAAGAGCTTGAGCATGCCAAAGCTCGCGGAGCCGATATATATGCCGAAATCAAAGGTTATGGCTGTAGCGGGGACGCGTTTCATGTCACAGCTCCGAGGGAAGATGGCGCAGGCGCGCTGCTGGCAATGAAAAGAGCTTTAAAAAATGCAGGTATACCTCCAAGAGAGGTGGACTATATCAACGCTCATGCCACAAGTACACCGCTAGGTGACGCTGCCGAGAATAGGGCAATTGAACGACTCATGCTTAGCGAAGAAGGTGCAATACATTTGGAGGAGGTTGCCGTGAGTAGTACGAAGGGTGCCATTGGCCACTTGTTGGGAGCTTCCGGTGCAATCGAAGCAATCTTCTCGATCCTGGCAGTAAAGGAGGTGAGTGGGAAGATTCTCCTCGAAGAAATGACAACAGCCGCTTACCTTTGCGCAGAACATCATGCCACCAACCTTCAATCTTCAAAACCTAGATGATGGATTCAGATGTAATTACATTCCCAGTTCAGCTCAAGAGAAGCTGGTTAAAGTTTCTCTTTCGAACAGCTTTGGGTTCGGTGGTGTCAATGCATCTTTGGCATTCTCCAAGTACTGAAGATTGGAAAGCTTAAAGCAGAAAGCAGAATTGGCCGAATCTTGCTATTAAAAGTGCAGTGCAAAGAAATCTCAGGCTTCTGTCGGAAGGAACAAACATTCCATTTCAGCTGAACGCTTTATTTTCACGTTCTAGCCCTGTTGACCTTGCCATGCTCGAGTCCTCTATTCGTGTACCAACTGCGGAAATTCTCCCAGTTCCTACATGTATGCACCTGGAGAGTTCCTATGAGAGTCATCTGAGTTTCATCGCCAAACGGCTTTAATGGCAGTGGCGTCAGGTCACCGGCGCGCTGTGTATTTTGACGCAGTTGCTCGATGCAATGTTCTGGTTCTGTAGTGAGCGCAAACTCTGATTGATGATCCATGATCACAACTCACCAATGTCATCGTGTTCGGAGTAGTATTCCGGGTCTAGTGCTTTCCGAACAGCATTCCTCTGATAGTTGTGGCGCCAGTATCTACTAGTGTATGTACCCGCTTAGGGGTAAGAACACCCGAAGCTCTTGATCGCTCGGGTGGAATAGCACTGCCCAAACAACTTACAGGCAATGCAGAGAATGCATGACTTCCACTTTTCGTTGGTGTCAGCCTTCAAAGTCTTGGACAGTTTAATAAATTCTTTGTTGTCTCACTCTGCCAGATAGAATCCTCTGATTGCGACTGGGTCTTCAAGCTCCTGTACTTCCTCTTCTGACAGGACCAGATACTGCCCTGAGCGTTTGTTAGTTGCCATCGCGAGACTGGGACAACGCCATACATGAAAAGAGCTCAGCCCGCGCATTATCTACCTCTTTATTTGGAGTTTCAACATATTGAGGTGAATAGGAGTTGTGTTCTCGACAGTAGCTCTTTGTTGTTTCGTTGTACCGGAAAGCGCTGGCGTATTTTACTTCCTGCAGTTGTATTACAGCCTTTGCTGGACCTGTGGGCTTGTCAGCGCTGGCCAAATCTGCTTCAGCTGGAAGTATTTACCCCACTCGGTCAGGTAGCCATCCTTGAACGTCTGCGTAGGACACAGTGTTGATCGAAGCGACAGTTGTATAGATAGCTTGGAGGCCGAAGATCAAACTCGTTATCGATAGGTTGATTATAGCTAACCTTGGCCACGGTGATCTGGATGTCTTGCAGCGTGAACTTTTGCTATCATCTGTGCAGTTGCCGTCCGAAATTCGGATTTCTTGTAGGTTGCGGCTGGTGCTGCCATGTTATTTGTTGGAATAGTTTGGCTTTGATATGGGCTCCAACTAGAGTCTCAAGATCTGATGACGAAGCAAAATTCAGAGCGCGATATTCACTATTCATAGGTCTTGCTCAGCATTACTGCTGGACACATTCCCACGGAGAATTGGTAGCACATCTCGTATAGTACGTGTTGTTCATGTGCGAGTACGGCGTTAATTTACTGGGATTCAATATTGATCTTTCCGGGTCCTCTTCTTCCATTCCAAGGTGAACACAGTTGAAGATTATTTTGGGCCAAGCGTTTCTCCACAACTTCGCCTCAAGCAATTATACTGTTCACCAACACGTATGATTTGTAGCTCTGTTCATCGAAGTGATGCTTCTCGAGACTGCTACATCATCTCTAATATCCTGCGCTATCAAAATGACCAACACTGTAGCTCTGTCTGAGGATCAAGTGGATGGTCTAACCACAAATTGCAACCTCTGGATGCGAACCATAAGCTCCAATCCTGCCTTACATATATCACTTGTCGTGGACTGCGATATGGCGAGGACAATCGATGAGGCTCGTCTCTGGTGCGTTCTGTGAAATAACCTGGGAAGACATGATCCAGTGAAGCATTCCATGACGACGAGATTGTAGTAATTCCCGTTCGAAGAGTTGTACCAGGTACGCATTGAGCCTTTCTCCATTCCAAACTCGGGTAGAATGCCAAGCTGGGACACTTCCCAGGTACAGCCGTTCCCATAACTAGTTAGAAACCACGGCTTTACGCGAGCCTTATTAAAATCGCGCCCCCCCCCCCCCTCCTAGGCCCCCTACTATAATCACCTACGCTTAAATATCTCTATAGTAACTATTTCAAATAACTTAATATTTTCGGAATATTAAGTTTAATATACTTTAAAACGTTTCTAAGCGTGTTTTATAAAACTAGAAAATAAAAGTAAAGGAAAAAGCGAAATAAGCTATACGCCCGAGTACCCGGACTTTAAAGCACTTTAATATAATATAACTACTTATTACATGTAAAAGATAAAATAAATAATATAAGGCGAATACTACTACTAAAAATATATTTATTTTTAAGTCTTTAGTATAAGTTATATAAAAAAATAAAAGGAAATAATATAAGCTAAAGTAAATAAACCAGCCCTAGCTTCTAATAAGTCCTTAATACTAATAGGCTTAAAAAAGCCTTTTAGTTAGTAGTAATATAGTAATTATTATAAGATCCTCTTTTATTAAACGTTAAAACTTTAAGTTAAATCCTACTACTTATTTAAATAAGCTATCGTACTAGATAGCCTTTTTATTAACTCTTATAATTAATATAAAAAATAGCTCTTAGCTAGCTGAGCTTAGTATAATATTAATAATTCCGAGTATTTTACTTAAGTAAAACTAAGTGATTCGATTTACCTAAAGGCTATTAAGACATAAGCTAAAGCTAAAAAGCTTAAAGACTATAAACTTTTTATATTATAATTCTAGAAGTAGATAAGATCTTATAAGGTTAAAGACTCTCTAGTTATTATAATTAAAAGCTAAAAAGACTAAAAGAAAGCTAAAGCTAGCTAGAGATCTTAAAACATATTATCTTCTAAGGCTCTATTAATTATAATAGAGGAGATATAGTTCTAAATTAATAAAAGCTAGAGAAACTATAATTCTAATAATAATACGCTATCTATAGGCTTTAAAAGAAAAAGGAAAGCTAAGGTATAACTAGAGACTATCTAACGAGTTAATTTCGCCTTTAAGCTAGCTTTAATACCTATTAATAGTAATCTATTTGAATTAGATAGTTCTTTAGCTAGCGATCTATTAGATATACTTTTAATACTATATCTGTTTTTAAAAGAGCCTTAAACTATTATATTAAGAGCTTGAAAAGCTATAGAGCTTTTAATTATTAATTAACCGAAACTATAGTAAATTAATAACTAATTATATAAGGTATAGCTTTATTTGAAAGATTAATATAAGAACTATAATAAGATAGCCTATTATATTATTATAAGAAACGATAATATAAGAGAAGACGTCTATTACGCTATTTTAGCTAAGATACTATCGTATAGTAGTAGAGCAGGCTTTTATTTAGTAGAAGGCTTACTCGATTAAGTAGAAGTTATAATATTAAAATATCAAATACTAACGCTATATAAGCCTATCCTAGGTTTAGTATATACTTAGTAAGTATACTATATATATATATAATATACTCTTAGCCCCTAATTCTAGGGGGTAATATTCTTTTAAATATATCTTTTAATACTATAACTTCTACTTAATTGAGTAAGCCTTCTACTAAATATAAGCTTACTCTACTATTATATAATAATTAAGAGCTATATTTATCTCCTAAGCACTTAGTATATATATAGTTCTATTATTTTAATTAAGCTTTTTACTAGAACCTCTTAATTACTCCTTAATTTCTGAATCCTTATAACTTCTCTATAATTATATTATCGTGTACTATAGGGAGGAGCTTTATATAGTGTGAAAGTCTTGATTTATTAAGGTATTCTAGAGCTCCCCTATAAGAGGAAGCTCTAGGAGTTCTAGTTATATAAGTAGCCTCTAGTTAGTTAGAGTGCCTTAGGGAGTGCCTCAGGTATGTTAGGTGTATAATATACCTTCTCACTTAGCTTTATAATAGTAAACGAAGCGATATAAATAGTATAGATAATACTACTTAAACTATAATAAGAGTTAATACTAACTAATAGTATTAGGTCTTAAGCGCCTAGTAGCTCTAAATATATAAACTAGGTAGGTTCCCCGGAACGCTCTTTCTTTAAATAATAACTTCGATATAATATTAGTAAATATAACTAAAAGCTCTCGTGCTACTCGCGCCTCACGCGCCTTTAACCTCGCTACTACTCGTGTAATAAAGAAGAAGACTATAAGTTATTAATTTGAAGATTCTAATATAGTTAGCGTTATAAGAAATCGTTAGAACTACGCTAATACTTATAAAATAGGCCCGTGGCTACTATAGCTCCCCTGCCGCTGCTATTCTACTATTACTACTATTATTATTACTACTACTAGTACTAGTACTAACTTCTACCCGCTGCTTCGCTATAGTAGGGGCTATTTATACTATGCTTTATAGCTATTATATTCGTAGTAGTTTATAAGGTACGCTAAGCGACCCCTATCGCGATAAAGAGATAGCTTTATATTATTTTTATTATTATAAAAATAATAAATCAGGTTATATTACTACCTTTACTCGCGCTACTGAACTTTTCGCTAGCTACTTAGTAGCTTAGGCTCTTCTAGAGGGTATACGTGTAAGTATTTCCTTATATTATAGTATTAGAATAATAAAGTATTAAGGTATTAATATTAAAGTACTAAGTAAGACTAACTTTATAATATATATAAGCTCTTATAGTCTGCTAGGCCGCTATTTGAAAAGCCTTAGAGACTAAGGAGAATAAGGATAAGGATAAGAATAAGATCTGTACTACTATCTATAAGTCGTAATAGTAGTCTTATAGATTTCAGATATTATCTAACTATTAATATTAGCCGCTACTCCTACCTTTACCTCTACTCTCTATAAAGAGACTACTATTCCTCTCCTTACCTTATTTTTAGTACTATAGGAATAAGCTCCGGCTCTACGGGAGCTACTATTGTCGCCCTTATAGCGCGTTTAGCCTTATATGCCTCTACCTTAGTAGAGGTTAATATTATAGCTAGCGCTACCTAGTAGTTAATTAACCTTCTCCTCCCTTCTTAGTAAGTAATATAGGTTTTATAACCTTTAAGTAGTAGCTTAGGAATATTACCTCTTTATTATTATAGTTTAAGCTAGTGTATTAGTATAGCTTTATAACCTAGAAGTTATAGCTTAGGATCAGGTCTTTTACTCTTTATATTATTTTAGCGCGGCTTTATAACTCTGAAGTAGTAGCTTAGGATTAGGTCTTATAATTCTACCTCTTCTCTTCTCTCTAATAGTATTTAAGAACTATAAATATAAAATAAAGGAAATATAATAAAAGAAAATATTTATATAGATTATATAGCTTAAGTGAGCTTCTTAATATTAGCTTAAGAGTCTTAAAAGTTTAAAAGAGCGACGAATACTTTAAACTTCTACTTTAGTAGGTTTTTAGTTAAGCTATTAGCTAGTATATTATTTATTAGAAGATACGTTACTTAAAAACTCCCCTTTTTATACTCCTATTATAGTTATATATTTTATATATTAACGTGCTAAAGCTTTATTAAGATTCGCTAGTTCTTTTTAACTATTAGCTGAATTATCTATTTATTATCATAGAATATATTCCACGGAGCTCCTATATTAAGCCTTAGCTCTTTAAAGAACCTTTAAAGCGCTATTACCTCCTTAGTAGTTTATTCTATACTAAGAAGCTCTGCCTTAGTTATTAAAGTAGTAATAGTATCTTATTAGGAGGCTTTCTAAATAATAGCTCCTCTAAATAGTATAATTAGAAATCCTTAGGAGGAATAACGCGATTCAGTATTATTTATAAAAGATATATCTAAAGTAATAAGAAAGTATATCTCTCTATTCTTCTAACTATAGATAATAGCTAGGAATCTTAAGCTAAATAGATATTATATAATCTAATTAACTGCCTCTAAGTATAGCGCGCTTAGGTTAATAAGAAAGTATAATAGTTAAGAGGCTATAAAAGCGATATCTAGCCGGAGTATAATAGCTATATATAGTATTAACTTAACCTTCTCTTAATATTCCTTAATTTACTTAAAAGTTACTATACTAAGGTTCTTAACTAGCTTATAATATAGAAGAGGCGTACTAAGGCACTTCCTATTTACTATATTAAACTTCTAAGCTATCTTCTTAATATAAATATTATATAAAAGAGATACTATCTTCTTTTCCTTATTTTATACTACTTATACTCCTAAGAATTATTCTATATCTCCTAGGACTATTAGCTTATATACCTTATGTAATCCGTCTATAATTATCTAGCTCTCTTTAGCATATCTAATATAATATAAGACCTGAATATTATTAATATAAAATACTATAAAGATAGTCCTATACTAGTTTATAAAGATATATAGCTCCTCTACGAGTAGAGATAAGTCTAGCTTACTAAGTATCTTAATAAAGTCGCTATACTAGAGTATAAATAAGTCCCTTAAGCTATAAAGTGCTTAATTAATTTCTATTACTATTCCTAGTCTTTTCTAGCTTTCTAGAGGGAAATATAAGATTAAGGCGCTTCTCTTATCTCTTTTTATATTAATAAAGGCGTTAATTATATTAAACTACTTTACTTCTAAGTTAAATTAAGCTACTAGTGCTATTATAACTTAGAACGACCTCGCTATAAGTGTAGCTATGTAAGTTAAGAATATTATAGAGTTATCTTATATATTACCTTATACTATAATCCGAGACTTATAATACTTAAGCTATCTTATAGAATCTACTTTATAAGTAAATACCTACTTTAAGGGAATTAGTAAGGTAGCTATATCTTCCCTAGGAATTAGTCTTTAATAGTCTTAAGCTTCTAAGTTTAATATCTCCCTTTCTATATTAGCTTTAAACTACTTACTATATAGGTAACTCTCTAGCTCCTTCTAGTTCTTAGGTAGCTTCGAGAGCTTCCCTTGATATTAGTTTTATAAGTTAAAGGCTTCTACCTCTACTTATATATCTAATATAGCGCTTAAAACTACTATATAAAGTGTGATAATATTATAGCTATTAGCTTATATCGGAGTCTTACTATAGAAGGTTATAGTAAACTCTTAAAAGCGCGAGTAGCTATCTTATCTTAAAGCTACTACTA